CAGTCAAAGTGCTGAGGAACCTCTGTCATTTTTCGGCATTTCCGCAGCGTTTTGTAAAAAGTCCTGCGGAAGTTCTCGTTTTCAACGTTTCCAGGTTTGTAATAGTAAACATATCCTGCGGAACTGCTGCACTTTTTGCTTGTCCTGCGGAAGTTCCGGTGAATTGCCTGTGTTTACTGTTTCATGTAGTCTATAAGAAATGAGAAATGGGCAGAGCTTTATTGCGTTCTTCTCAGTATTCAAATCTATCCGAAAATGTGGGTCTCAGGGTTTTGCAAACATTTGCGTCTCCCAATTTAGCTGGTCTTGACACGAAATTCGACGTGGATATCCGAGTAAATCTGGGGAAACTGTCTGAAGATTTGGAAACTTTTAACGAAAATTTTATCTTCATCCGAAGTGTAAAATCTATGCAAACCCAGTATCTACTGAATTACTTTGAAATTTCTAGCATTCACATCCATGCCTTATTTCCTCTTCTATTCGTCTTTCTAAATCTGAAAAGTAAAAGTATGGTTTTCAAACTCGAATCTATCTTATAAAGCAAATCATTGATAAACTGTGATCACTGATTTGCTTAGCTTGTTGATTTTCTCTAAAGTCCTGTTTTTGACGCAAACTTACGGACGCGACTAGCTAAAAACTGATATTAGGTTTGTCATGGTATCGCAGGCTTGTCGTTTTGTTTACCCAAATCTTCTGGCGCTGGCAAATATAATTACTTTGCCAAACAGTAGCTGTGTCGGTGTGCTTTGGGGGGTGATAGTGCTCCCAAAAGCGGGGTCCCAGTAAATCTGGGTATTTTTATGTGGAAAAGAACATGAATTCTCAACTAAACTTCTGCTCAAATTTGCAGCTCATGTACTCATTCATGGCCGAGAAACTTAACCGCAAACTCTCGCCCGACCGTAATTTCTACCGTGCTTGGAGGCGCTGAATGGTACGGTCTGGGCGAGAATGTAAAGTTGTGGTTTTTCCTCTACTTTTTTCAATACTATAACAGAAATTGATTTTCTGAGAAATTTAAATACTTTTTTTTCAGCCATCAACATGTTGCGAGACAAGGCTCCTGGCACATTTGTCGTCCGCGATTCCAACAGCTTCCCCGGAGCATTCGGACTAGCCCTGAAAGTGGCCACACCTCCGCCTGGAGTTGCGCCAGGTTAGCTTCATTCTATTTGTTCACACGAACTTCGTCTCGTCCTGAATGGATCAGGCAAAACAAAGCAGTTACGGGGTGTTTGTTCAGCCGAGAGCGGACTGAAGGCATGTACATATTAGTCATGTATTGAAATCGAATGCCATTAGTGTCTAGACTACAGCAAGGAATAGTAATATGTATAGAAACAAAAAACAAAACTGACTCATTTGCGAAGTGATTCAGTCATTTCATGGCTACACTTGAGCAATGTTTTTAGATACTGTAAAGTTGCGCAAATCGTACTAATTAGTACAAATAGTACACAACGAACAGAAGTTGACTTCTATCCGTTCCACCAGCTACTGGAAAGATCAAACTTTTGAGCCTTCATAGAGCAACTATGAAGGCAAAGAAAAAATCGATGTCAGATATTGCAAAGCTTATAGCAATCAATAAATAATGTTATAAATTATGCCAAATGCGTTTTATCCTATGTATACTTTATCAACCCACCAGTTGTGATATATAGAAAAGCAAAATCGCAATTATTTTTCTGGTTGTTCCAAGATTTTTGTCGGTGAATTCGGGAACAAAAGTTTTCTGG